TTATATGACCCTATGAGTTTGTCAAAATTCAATAAACTATATACCTAAAAAGACTAACTGTTACCTTATGTAAATTCAAACTCAATAAAATTGTTTTAAAAATATCCCATTATAAGAAATTTGTTAAGGGACTAATTAAATGTAATTTAAAAATGTAGTTTCTCAAATCTGTCTCTTTCCCCCCACTTTAATTATAAAGGCATGTTTCTCTGTTCTATCTCACTACATCCTTTCTCATCTCCCATAATTTTTCAAGAATTACCTAACAAGGTAGTGTCTCAGAAACACATTCCTGTGTGTTTTTTTTTATCCTGAAATAGGAGTTTCCTATACTTAAAAAGTCTCAACTCTATTGACAGTTTTAAAAGAGCAAAGCATCTTAATTACCATTTAGTCTTTTATATGCAAACATAGCACTATCTTCCCCAAGCCAGGCCTATCCCTGCATTATTTCCCTTCCTCTTCCTTGAACTTTAAGGTCTACCTGCATCAGAGACTACCAAATGAAACCAAGGAAATGTTAGCCTTTGTTAACTCAATGATTCCATACATTGAAGTCCCCACTCCTTCTCCCCAAGGCTGCTGCCCCCTGGAGGTGACTCTTACCCAAATGCTAGCAGCTAATGACAGTAGTGCCCCACCTCAGCCTTGTTTGTTTTATTATTTTTGCTCTTGATTTGTGGGGATTTTTTCACTTTATTTTAGCACTCTTTATTTTTTAAGATTAGACTATTATTATGATAACAAGTTTATAGTAGGAACCCAAACCACACATTTTTAGAAACACATAGCATCCTTTTTGCCACTTACATTAAAATTTTGTAGACTTTGATGAGCACTTTTGCTGTAAGGCCACCCATTCTTCTTCCTCACTTTGATGACTGAGATCTTACTCTCATGGGTCTATTTTCTTCCCATTGTCTTCTCTCTGCTCTATTTCACATTTTTGGATGGAATGTAACTCCTTTCTCTTCAGGATTCTATTAAAGTCTCATTACTTTGGCAGGAGCACCTCTTTTTCAATGCTATTTCACATTTTTGGATGGAATGTAACTCCTTTCTCCTCAGGATTCTATTAAAGTCTTCTCATCACTTTGGCAGGAGCACTTCTTTTTCAATATCTTAATTAAGGGATCAGGAAACTAATTCCCTATTTTCAGTAACATCCAAAGAGCTTTGAAGGGCGAGTAGACTTTGATTGGCTAAAAAGAAGAAAGAGGGCAAACAAAGATGCACAACTAAGAATGACCATCATAGGTTTGAGGATGGAGAGGACATATGCCTGAGATTAGCCTTTTTAAAATAAAGTAATAGAACACGTGATCAAAAGGATAAAGGAAGGAGACCTAGGAAATGCAAATGTGTTAAGAAATCCATATAACATTTGTATCCTCTGCCATTCTTCAGCAAAAATTTTTTAAATGTGACATGAAGATGATACATTGCTAGCTGTCTCTTTCACTTGTCTCATGAGGGGCACATATAACATTTGTATCCTCTGCCATTCTTCAGCAAAATTTTTTTAAATGTGACATGAAGATGATACATTGTAGCTGTTTCTTTCACTTGTCTCATGAGGGTCAACTTTTAGATGAATTTGAATTTAGAACTTCTAGATTTTGACTACCTACTTCAAACCATCATGGCTACTATTTATCCAGGTAATATTTGCTATCTACTTAGGAAATGTTCTCTGATGTTAATCTTATGAAAATAAATGCAAATGCCAAGTATAACTGAATATTAAGTCTGTGGTTAAAAACTAATATTTTCGAAAGAAAAAAAGCAATCTCCAGTATCAAAGACTTTTAAGATTGGACTATAGTGTATTATATTACAGATGACCTTAGTTTATTTTCTGTCTAGGACTGAAAGTCAGCATTACCAGTTCTGTTTTTCTTCTATTTTTCTATATGTTCTACATTATTTCTTTTCTCCTTTTTGTATGTCACTAAGAGTGAGATATACACTTGTTTTTCTGGAGTGGTTGGGGCCAAGAGACTGTCATGATATTCCCAGAAGTTTGTTGTTGTTGTTGTTGTTTTTGATCATCCTGTGATTTCACATTTTTCTGTGCTATTCTAAAACAATGTTAGATTAATTATTTGGCTTCATAAACCTCACTGAAAGCTATTAGAACAGAGGTCATGCTTTACATTTAGTATCACCTAGGGAGGGGGCAGGCAGGTGCATGCTTTTTCAATGTGAAGGTATTGTTAAATTAAGGAAACGAACAAAATTTGCATAATGTTTTTCATGTGGAAAGATAACAGTTCAAGTAATTACTTTTCTTATGTTGAATGTTCCGCAATCACTTTATGACTTCTCTGTTGAGCTCGGTGTTCTTTCAACTTCCATAACCTTCTGTTCATGCCCTGCATTTTAAGAAAAGCACCATAAGCATGGATAATAATGAATTGAAGCTTAGGGTTGGAAAGAACCATGCAGATGTTCTAGTTAGACCATTGTCATCTTACAAGGCTAAGTAACTTCCCCCAAATCACAAATTGCCTAAGGTCAGAGCCACTGTGAAGACTTGGGACACCTGGTTCTCAGTGCAGGGCAGAGATGACAATGCAACCTGCTAATGAGCAGGTACATATTTCAGAAGCAAGAAAGGCCATCAGCCAAGAAGGACACCAGCTTAAGAATCTTTCATTATGGTGACAACTCTTCTGGACATGGAGAATTAAAGCATTTATATACACCTATCCATTTTGTACTTGATTTTTAAAAACCCTGGTCTTAGACAGGAAATTGAACACGAAGAATTAACATCTTCTGGGCCTACAAGTCTGCCCACAGAACAAAATTAGAGAAACTAAGCTGAAATTGCCAACATAATGTGATTGGGCAAAGAAAAGGACTAAAACACACCCTTAGCCCGAGAATAACATAAGTAGAGGCAATAGAGAATATTAGATTTCTCAGGCAAATTATTACTTCTCTGGCATTAGTTTCTTCATCTATAAAACAGAGATAATAATAACTACTTAGTGTTGATGCCAGGATTATGTGAGATGATACAGGATAAAGTACCCGGAATAGGGCTTTCCATATGATCAGAACTCAAATATTGGCTATTAACTTTAATGTTTAACCTAGCAAAATTAATTCTGCATATTCAGTTATAGATGAAGAAGGCAGTCATAACCAAAGAGGACATGGCAGTAGAGATGAAAATAAAACTCATCTAATGATGTAAGGATCCCTGAAGCATGAGAAAAGCACAAGAAAAGAGATAGTTTGTACCCAGGTCCAAGCATCTAGATATCGATGGGTGGTTTCCCTCAGTTCTTTGTGTGGGTGCAGCCATGCTTAATTCCTCCACCGCTCCCATCAATTCCATTTGTTGTCCAGACTCCCTGATAGATCCTAAAGCATATGGATTCTTCTCATTGTAGAAATGGAGCGGAAGTCAGTTTTCCTACTCAGTAGTGCAAGATACTGCAGCAAAGATATGCATATGCTCGAACTATGATGATGTCTTATATTACAAATTTGGTGCACATAGTTGGCCAAGCACTGACCATTCTTGTTTCTTATTAATTGGAGACCGAAGTTGTTTTCCTTTATTGAGTGTGTTAATTATGTCCTCGACATAAGGCAAACTTTGCAAGATATTCAGATGAAGGATGCTAGCAACCTGTACAGTGTAATGAGGGACATGCAGAAAATTTTACCCTCACCATTAAAGCCCCAAAGCCACTATTCTGAGTCCTTTAAATGGATTAATATAAACACAATTCCATGTTATCTCATTATTATCATCACCACTGGGGTGATATGGGTAGGCTGCATTAGACCCTAAGTCCCTCATTTTCATTGTTTTAAAATTTCACTATTTTTGTTCCTAAAGATTACATACCCTAAGAGAGGTAACTAGCTAACATGTTATAAAGGATAGTTAAAAACTTCTAAGGTTATAACAGTTAAAAACTTATAAAGTTTTAACAACCTAGGGCTTGTAAGCAGTTGATAGTTTGGTATACATAGTATAACATGCATAATATATGTCAAGCATATTTTTCAATATTATTTCAAGTATGAATAATGGAGAGCAACCTGGCAGTGTTACTTCAGAGACAGTTGACCAAGTGGACAGTCTGGATGGCTTTTATTCACAAGAAGAGTGAATACGCACTTACTTGTTCAACTAGAAATATCTGTCATGGTAGGAAGGGCTACCTATACTGAGGTTGCAATGGCGCCCTACATTTGCTTATTAGTTATGATTATTAGTTAATTAGTTAGCTGCTAAAACCCAAATGCAAGGTGGAATTTTATTTTTCTCTCACTAAAGAGACTAGAGGTGAGGGGGTCCCTTCTATGCTGCTCCATCTCCATCGCCAAGGTGACTGTCCTCATCTGCATAGCTGCATAACTATTTTGAGAGGACACAAAGGCCACTCAGTTTCCTTTGAAGCAGGTGGGAGTCTCATACAGCCCCTCATATTTTATTGTGGGAGGGTTAGTCCCTTGTTCAAATCTAGCTGCAAGGGAAGCTTGGAAATATAGTCCCCAGCTGGATGGCCACCTGCCCAGATCAAACCCTATTACTATGAAGAAGAAAAGAATGAAGTCAGAGAAACAGCCATCAGGCATACTCGACCAATTTTGATTTCTTCTTATATGATCTATGCCCAATCAAGCATGGATATCATTCTTTAAAATGAGATGATTCCCACACATAGAAAGTTGTATTTTCTGACTTTCCTGATGAGACAGAGAGTCAGAGTGATGTGTTAAATATTCAGACTTGCTAATAATTCATGCATGTCAACTCTATTAATGACAAACCTTCTTCCAAATACATTCCAAATTTCTTATGGTCAAAAGGAAGACACCGACTTGTGTTCTATCTTCCACAATGCTTGGCACCACTTAGGAATATAAAAAATGCCTATTGAATTGAATGTTCTGGATCAAATGGGGGATTTATTGTCCTATTTCATACTGTATGTTGCTCATCTCTTTCTCCTACCACTTCTCGTTTCCAGTTTGATCACTCATGGCTTTGGGACTCCAGCAATATGTGCAGCCCTAAGCACTTTCCAAACAGTCCTCAGTGAAATGCTGAACTACTTGGAAAAACACACTACCCACAAAAATGGCGGAGCGGCGGATTCTGGCCAAGGACATGCCAACTCGGAGAAAACCCCCCTGCGGAAAACTTCAGAGGCCGCCGTGAAAGAGGGCAAAACAGAAAAGACAGACTAGCTACATCAAACAACCTACTTCCAGAGAGTCTTGCTGCTGATATTTTTTCTAATATATATATCATGGAGGGTGATTACACTTCAGTGGATCAAATCTTGACTCTCCCCTGAACCTCCATAAAAAACAAAAATGGAAATGAAAAATGAAACAAAAAAGGACAAAACCACACAAAAAAGTGAAAAAAAGGAAAACAGCAGTGTAACCGTGTGATGAAATTGTCACTTTTAAAATTTCATGTTATGATAAACTCCTTTCGTGCACGTAATTTATTGTTCTGAATGATAGACATCACAGTGTTAAGCACTCCTGGACTTTGGAGAGGCAGCACATGCGTTTCACATCTGACTGATGCACTTTCTCACCCTGCTCTGTAGGAAGGGATCAGAAAGTGTGACCCAACTGGACTCCACCACCAGTGCTGACAGCTCCAGTCTTGACATAACTCCCTGTAACAAGAGTGCCTCTTTCCAATAAGTAGACCGATCTGGCAATGAATCCCTCAATAAATACTTTGGGAACTGAAAAGGGCAGTCACGAATCTTTGTCCTGTGAATTGACAGAAATTCTAAAATTTTGGTCACCCCCCGCCCCCCAGCCCACTTAACTACCAGTGCCTTGGTGGTATTTAAAAATTCCAGAAAACGCTGTCCCCCCTACGTATGCCTATTCCCACCTCACCCTAGGTCCTTCTTTATGTTTGCCCAAGAGCTAAGAAGAGAGTCAGCATAGTATTGAAGAAAGAACAAGTGTGAACGCCTCTATCCATTCTCCTCACACGCCCAACCTAACAGTTCAAGGAAACAGACTGCACTTAACGGGTCAGGGCAGGATGGATACAGTAGCTTTGCCATTCTTGGGCTCCCGCTGGAAAGCAGTAGGATTGTGATGCCTAGAAAAGCTTTGGGATAGGAGCAGCGATCTCTCCCGGAAGCCCTGCCCCTCAGAGACAGGAGAGGACCCCAGGGGGCCCCTGGAGGTCCATTGACGCGCTGGTGGCCAATGATTGTATGATTAGAGTGAGATCCCCTCCTTCTTCTACCCTTGTGCTTCTTCTACCTGCTCGATAGCCGTGTCCTAACCATTTAGAAGCACAGAAGCGTTCAGGTCTGTGTTCAATAAAAACAAAAACAGAATGATCGGAGGTGACTTTTGCTTTTAAGATGCTTCCTTTGTTTATAGCTTGTTCCTGCAGTTCATTGTCCTTTAGTCAAGACACTGAAGACAAGAGGTTCCGGGCTGCAAAGGCCAGAAACTAACTGAATGATAGTTAGGACCATTTAAACCTGAAAGTGTCAAGAAACCTGACTGGTACCACATTGTTCTAAACTTTCTACTGTTAACATTTTCCAACTTCTAAGCAAATCAATATATAGGTCATCATCTATGAAAAAAAAATAGTTTAATAATGTGTGGACACACCTGACACCAAGTGTAGCATGAAGATATTATCCTCTTGTTAACGTGTTTCAATTACTTTCACTAAGTGTCTGCCATAATATAACCCCACGGGGAAGATTAGTATTATTTTTAATTGGAAGGAAATTAATTGCTCAAGATTTTTTATGTAGAGATCAAAAAATATTTTTATCTAATAATAATTCTTAAAATTATTTGACCTTTATCTTCAATCATGTACAGAAAAGGGGAACCATACCAATAAAAATCTAAATTTTCCAGACTAAATTCAATTAACAGGAGACACTACTAAGGAATTCTATATTAAAGGGGTTTTATAGTTAGTAGAAAAGCTTACAATAAAGAAATGAATTGTGGGTTCATGTTCATCTAGATCCATTTTTAAAATTTTACCATTATTTAAGACTTTAAAATTTTTTTAAATAAAATAGAATAAAGCTAAGATTCTGCAGTTCCAAATTTCATCACAAAATAAATTATTCCATTTTTCATGACATTTTCCATATTGTAATATATACACAAAAATGATGACTATTTCAGTTTTATAAGTAGTAGAAAAGCTATATACAGGTAATGTGGACCACTAATATTTCCTTAATAAAATTTCCACATTAATTTTCTTTTATTCCTTTTATTATTAACAATACATATGTATTTAATATGGCATTTTGATATGCATATCTGCTACGGACTTAATGTAGTTATATACCATGTAAAATGTTCACCAATAATCAGATGAAAAGTTAGATCTGGCTTATAGTACCAGCTTATTTCTCCACCCATAGTTGTTACTAGTTGGGGTTCTTAACACCTCAATGGGGTATTTTTTATTAACATTGGAAACAAAAGTATAACTAAATAATTACAGTGCATATTATTTACCAGGATTTGGGGTGTCTTCAGAGCCTTAAATGGACAGCACCCATCATTTAACTTAACCAGCCATTGGGACATAAATGAATTGATGGACTGGTCATATTTAGAGTCATTATTTATTATCATATCCTAATAGACATTGTTAACATACCAACTTTTGCCTTGTATATAATAGGTACTTAACACTTTTTAAATAAATGAATAAATGAATGTGTGTGTGTTCTTTGTCCAAAATGGGCCAAAGGACAGTTTACTTTTGATTCTTTTTAATACTCAGTGCTTCAATCTGGCTTGCTTCTTTCATGGTCATTTATAGATAATTCTTTTTTATTTGAATAAGGAAATATTTCCATTATCTCATATTAGTGGCAAGTAGATGTAGTTAATATAGAACAATGAAGAAAATTAGATAAGTATCAGAATTTCAGCAAAAGTAAAGTTATAATCATTATTAGTATCATAGTTTATAGTAATGGAAAGTAGTTCATAGAAATCTACCTTATTTTCAGTGTTATAATAGGTAATAAAACAATAAAAAAGCTTTTCAGATTAACTATTACTTGCCCAGAAAACTGTGCAAACCTCTCATAATTACACAAAATTAATGTATAATTTTCATATTTAAACTTGTGAAAGATTAGGTCAAATTCCTATGAAAAGAATTTTTTGTGTTAAAGCTGTTTCAATAATCAATTTCAGGGCCACCTCTAAGGCTATTTTATCAACATTACATTTGACTTAAGGTTGGCGGTTCTAGAAAAATCCATGAAAACTCTGTATCACTCTACTCTTTCTTCTCTAGAAAGACAAGAGCACTAGAAAGATGCCTCATTTATTCTCCTGCTCACTTTTTTTGAGATGGTATGAAAATAGAAATAATTCTTTCTGACTTTAAGTTCTTTTATCCCTTCCACCCAACCCCTATTTTTTGAGGGTATGTTCTCTTCAATGTCCAGGACATAACATGACCCTTTAGCACTTCTGAGCATCCTGAACCTAGTGTGACAGTGATAAGAATTTGATCTTTTGTTACCTGGTGCTTTTAAGGTAAATGTGTCAATAAATTATTCTTGTTACTAATGAGTAAAACAATATAATTTCATTTCCCTGTATTTTTTTTTTGCCTTTTCTGCTTCTTTGGAGGCATTTTAGACCAGTACAATTTTTAACATGTGTCAGAATGCTCTACGCAATGAGCATGCCATCTCCTTAGAAAAGCCAGGTCAACATAGGACAGGTGCCATGGTCTAGTGCAGTGGTTCTCAACCTTCTGGCCCTTTAAATACAGTTCCTCATGTTGTGACCCAACCATAAAATTATTTTCGTTGCTACTTCATAACTGTAATGTTGCTACTGTTATGAATCGTAATGTAAATATCTGATATGCAGGATGGTCTTAGGCGGCCCCTGTGAAAGGGTCGTTCGACCGCCAAAGGGGTTGCGACCCACAGGTTGAGAACCGCTGGTCTAGTGACTAAGAACATAGACTCTGAAACCAAATTACCTGGGTTCAAATCATGGCTCTTTCACTTCCTACTGTGTGACTGTGGGCACATTGTTGAACCTCTCTGTGCTTCCATTTCTCCTGTAAAATAAGAGTTATAATAGGTACCTGCTCACAAAATTACTGTCAGAATCAAAGAGTTAATGTATCTAAACTGCTAAGAGTAGAACTAGTGCCATGTGTTAGTTATTATCTTTAATACTTGGACAAAATATACTTTTTATCTAGATATCAATTTCTTCTCAGTTTATTGAACCCTTTCTGTATGGCAGGCTCTGTCCTAGAGACTGAAGATACAGAGTGGAATAGAACATTTTTTTGCAAGTTTCTCACAGCCTCCCACAAAGATCCCAGACATTAGCATCCGGTAATGCCACAATAAAAATGCGCACAAGTTGCCCCAACACAAACCAGACCAGGTCCAGGGAATCTGGGGAGGGCATGAAGGGTAGAGGACAGGGAGGAAGATCAAGGAAATGGATTGTGATCGGGGAATGGGAAGGTGAACATCAGGAAAGAAGGGATTTTATAGTTCCGGGTGAATAAAAACATTTGGGGCAGGATGCGATTTTGAAAACGAACAGATGTACCTTGTATTTCTGGTCATTCCTACCTTCCTCCCTCATGTTTTGGGCAGCTAACATTTCATCCTGCCTGCCTCGGGGCAGAAATGGGGCCCAGTGGAATGCAGACAACAAGAGTTGAACTTTTGCACAAGTTTTCAGTTTCAAAATCCCAGGCCCTAAGGAGGACTTGAGGTTTAAAAGTTTTTCTGT